AACGGTGAAGAAAAAAAAAAAAAAACCCGGAGGTGGGATGATGGGAAGGAACCGAGGGGGACGAACCAGCGCAGACACACACACGCAGCTGCAGACCGAGCTCAACCGAACCGCACCAACACAGACACGGTTGAAATAAAAAAAAAAATTTTAAAAAGCATAACGGTAATAATCACGTAGAAGTGGGTCAGAAACGAGTGTGGATGAAATAAATCCCGCGAGAATGAAGGATGGAGGATGCGAGGCTGCTGGCGTGGGTGAGGAGAGGGGGGAGAAATAACAGCCAGAAAAACTACAAAAAAAGAAAATCATCATCCGTACCTGCACAAGTGGACATTTGGAACGGTTTTTTTTTTCTTTTTTTTTTTCCTGGCTCCTCACGACGCACAGAGCCTTCAGGTTTGAAGGCGGTGGTTCAGAGCGTTAGCCGCAGGTGTTCTTTGTGTTTATATCCAGGCCATCGCACCAGCCCCGTTATCCTCCTTCAGGTAAACTTTCTGATGATGAAGAGGAGGAGGAGGAGGAGGATGGTGACGATGAGGGTGAGGACAGTGATGGCTCCTGCACGGACCAACACAGTCACCGCGGTGTCGTCAGCAGCAGCAGCAGCAGCAGGAGGAGCAGGAGGAGCAGGAAGAAAAGGTGCTTTCCAGCTCCTGGCTCTCACATCCTCCACCTCATAACGGTGTCGGTGTATAACAGATAGGCTTTACTGATTTATAATTGGTTGATCCGCTGGTAGAGGAGGGGGGGCACAGGTGAGGAAGCGTCCAATGAGGGAGCCTGCTGTCTTAGGTTTGCCTAAATTTAAAGTTACGCTGCAGCCTACGTTTTAAAGTCACGTTTTGTTTTTTTGTTTTTTTAAATGTTGTCGGGAGTTCAACTAAAAACCACTCCAAACACCGCGAGATGACGAGCGTCAACATCCTGTGTGTGAAATACACACTAATATAGTTGACATTCACATTCATAAATGTGTTTGCCAAAAAAAAAAATATCTCCGAGATATTTTTTAACCCGAATTCACAGGTGCAAACAGCGGAACACGTGCAGTGGCAGCGGTTTGTAACAACAGGGGGGGGAAAAAACTATATTTTTCTTAACTGTTTAACTGTCACACAAAGTAAGAAAAAAAAAACCCACTCGTGACACTGTGTAAATCCAGAGCCGGAGTCTGAACAACACATTTCAGAGCCTTACCTCAACCGAAGGACCATGTGGTGGAGCAGTTAGAGCAGGGAGGGGCGGAGGAGATAAAATAAACATCCCATCTCTCCTGGCCATCACCGGCCGAAGTCAGCTTCAACCGAAGCCAACGTTTAAAAACAACAACACGGTTTTTCCGCTGCGGCGGTTTTCGATCCACCGCCGACACACGAACACAAACTAACTAAACCGTTGGACCTCCACGGAGCCGCAAACTGAAGCATCCGGGGCCGAGTGAGCAGCAAGTTAGCACCGAAGTAATCCCGCAGCAACCTCGCCCTAAAATTTTCATCCACCAAAAAAACAAAAAAAAACAAAAAAAACAAAAAAAAAAGCTGCAAACTGCGCTCAACAGGGCCACGCCGGGACGAGTCCGCCTCCCAGAGCGGGCGTTAACAGTTGGCCAGGGTGAGAAAAGTGGCAGGAAAGTGTGTAGAAATAAAGTGTAAGAAACGCGGAGGAGCTCGAAGCGCCTCTGCCGCTTATTCTAACAGTCGGATAACGGTTCACTCAGGCAGGAGGCTCCATGCGCCGCTAGGCGGAGAGAGAGCCGCCAGCCAGGTATAACGGTACAGCAGCACCACCGCTCCGGGACAGCAGAAAGTCCCACAAATGTACTCCAAGTTACTCCCAAAAAAGTCCAGAAGGAGTTTTCCCGGATAGAAAACCTCCCCGTAGTTGCCCCGGAGCCGCTCGGCGGCGGCAGCGGAGGAGTTCGGACTTACCGCTGCTCCTCTTCGGGTTCGCCTGTTTTCTGCGCTTACACCTGGGGCCATCCGCCATGATCCTCTCGCTCTGAGTCTGAAACGCAGCCGCTCAGCTCGTCACCTCCTCCCTCCCCTTTCCTCCTCCTGTCCCCCCTCCCTCCCTCCAACTCCTCACCCATACTCTCACCCCTCCTTTCCCCGCCTGTCCGCTTTACGACATCACCTTCCTCTCTCCCCCCTCCCGGAACACCTGGTTTGCGACACACTGACCGCCTTTACGTTAGCACCTTCTGCGAACACCTCATGGCTGCTGTGTGCCGGTCACTCTCCCCTCTGCTCCTCCTGTCTCTCCCCCCCAAAAGGAAGAATTAACATTTAAAGTGGTTCTATATGGATATAGGTAAAATAAAAAAATATTTTAAAATAAATAGTGTAATTTATGCTGAATCTATGCAATAAAGTTAAAAGCCACCATTTTCCTACTTTATTACTAACTAATAAACACCTCACCGTTTGAGTTCATATAACTTGATACTTCATATAATTTGTTTTCTAGTTCATTGTTGAATTTTAAGTGAAAATTAAGAAAAAAAAAATCAATGTTTTATTACAAAGTAATTACCAAGTAGCAACAAACATTAAGTAACAGGTGCTGAAAAAAAAGTGTCTAAAACCACAGAGGTAGACAGACGAGTAGGAGGGTTAGGAAACATAAGGTTCACGGCCTCCCGACGGGGCCGTCTGGAAGAATAACAGGCCATAATAACCAGAGGAAGTTTGACACAAACCGTGACAAATAGAATTGTTTGTTCACATTTAAAACCTGGTGATCCAGAAATATCTGTGGGCAGTTTTGTCCTGAGCTGCGACAGAAGTTCAGTGACAGAAGTTCACGGCAGGTCAGGGGAGTGGACCTCACCGCTCCTGTTGAGCTATTCTTGTACCTGAGGACGATCAGGTTTCCAGTGCAGACACACACACACACACACACACCAGGTGCAGCAGCAGCGACAACCAGCAAACAGGAAAATCTCTGCTCCACAATCGGACAAACGACGAAGGAAAACACGTGAGAGTGGAGCCGAGGAGCAGGCACAGAGGGATTGATGGGAAATCTGAGGAGTGAAAATCATCTTTACTGGGCACACACACACACACACACACACACACACACACACACACACACAGACATGGGTCAGCCACCCACATGTGACGTAAACACGTTACAACAACAACAACAACAACAACTCCAGAGTCACCGTGAGGTTGAAGGTGTGTGTGTGTGTGTGTGTGTGTGTGTGTGTGTGTGTTTGCTGACAACAGTCGAACAAATGCAAAACATTCGACAACAGAAATCATGCAAATAAAAAAAAAAAAACTCGATCGACATCTGAAGCTAAAGTGGCTAAAACTGGTCGCTAACAGTTCAATCAACACACACACACACACACACACACACACACCAGTCACAGGTAGGAAGAAGAATTCAATCTCCCACTGACAGGATATGAAGGGCCACAAAATCCTCTTCTCATTGGGAGAGAAGGTGTGTGTGTGTGTGTGTGTGTGTGTGCATGACAACGTCTCTCCAGGTGATTTGCCGTCCTGCTGCTGCCTGACAACTCAAAGAGGAAATGATTCCATTATTCGATGCTAATTTTGT